AGATATAGGGTGTGCAAAATCGAGATATTTCAACTTTAGGATTTTTTTGGGTCGAAACTATTCATTAATGGTCAAAACGGCATGCATGTCCCTATCTTAACTTTTGATTTACTATCAACTGATATTTAATTTGAATGAATGCAGGGTGGTTCATAATTCTGAATTTTGAACTACCCTGTATTCGTCCAAATTAAATATCAGTAAATACTAAATCGAAAGTTAAGATAGGGACATGTATGCCGTTTCGACCAATAATGAATAGTTTCGACCCAAAAAAATCCTAAAGTTGAAATATCTCGATTTTGCACACCCTATATCTCTGTAATCATTCTTGCTAGACCCAAGTGTGATGCATTGATGAAATCAGCTCACAAAGGAGAATCCGGAAATGTAATAAAATACAGGGTGTCCTATCCCAGATAACACGAAGACGTCCTGTGTACGTCCAGAGGACGTACATCTGGGACGTACAAGACGTCCTGAAGACGTCCAGTGTCGGTCGAAGACGTCCACAGGACGTATTGGGGACGTCCGATGTTACAAGATGGAACGTCCCAGGGACGTCCATAATAAGTCCAAGTTTGGTATTTCATCGCCATGAATACCATAATCAACGTAGATTCGCCCTTTTTTCACTCAGATAGATAAACAAGACATTCATACAGAGCACAAAAATATTATTTCGAATAAAAAAATTAAAAAAATTCTTACTACTGGGGGATCGATCCGCGACCTCTGAATTACCGAGCAGATGCTTTACCAACAACTCTACACGACACTTATTGAATATAAGACTTACCTCTGTTCAACATATGCGATTATAAGATGGAAACGTAAACATTGAGTGCAGAAACACTCCACCAGCTCATTTCAATGGAATTCGCTATGAATCAGTATAAAGACCAGGACGTAAGACAATATGTGTACATAATTTCATCTTTAAGTATATCCTACGAAATCTCTGAATCCAATAAAGAGGTAACACTCTATTTAGGATAAAACATTGCCAGATTTACTTCAATTTTTCCACATTGGTCACAAAAAATCACGTGATTCATTGTGACCTATTATCGAATTGATCGGCAGCCATTAATAAGGGCCCTCATTCCTTCTCCATTTGATCACATCTGGCAATGTTTTATTGTTATTGGAGAATATAATAAATATAGAGTGAATAATGAATATTGAAAAAATGAAGACTAAAAATGGACGTCCTGAAAACGTACGCTCTGTACGTCCCGAAGACGTACGGCATGGTACGTTCTGAGGACGTCCATATTAGGTTCCGGGACGTACGGATCCGAATCGGACGTAATATGTACGTCCCCGGGACGTCGTGTGCTATCTGGGATAATAATAAGTATAACTTTCATACGCCACGCATATTTGAGTCACCCTGTATACGCAAAGTAATTTAATACAGAATGCCATAAATAAATTAGAGACATGGTCTCAAAATACAGGACTACATTTTTCTACAAGCAAAACTAAAGGTGTTTTATTTTCCAAAAAAACAGAGAACATGATACCCATTATCCAGATTGATGGCCAACAACTAGAATACGTAGACGAAATCAAATTTTTGGGAATGATTTTTGATAAAAAATTATCTTGGAATGCACACATTAGAAACGTGAAACGTAAATGCCAGAATGGACTGAACCTCATGAAAACTTTATCAAATCACTCCTGGGGTGCTGATAGTACTACCTTGATGCGTATTTATCGTTCCACAATCAGATCGAAGATTGACTACGGGTCAATAATATACAGCACCGCAAGCAAATCAGTACTCAAACAACTGGACAGTATTCATAACACCGCTATACGAATCGCCCTTGGAGCATACCGCACGAGCCCAGTAGAGAGCTTGTACGTGGCGTCTGCAGAACCCCCACTAGACATAAGAAGAGACTATCTAAGTCTTACATATGCAGCTAGAATATCAGCCAACAAGGACAATCCAACATTCCAAAACACCTTCTCTAACAGATTCCATACAATCTACAACCTTAATAACAACATCACACTACCCTTCTACAAACGAATTCAAAAAATATCCAGTACCCTCAATTTTGATTCCACCTATCCCATCAATAACAAGACACCCCCTCCCTGGACAATCAATATTCCTCACTGTAACACAGAACTCCTCAGATTTCAAAAAATAGATACTCCTCTTCCAGTGATCCGAAGCGCTTTCAACGAGCTATCCCACAAGTACACCGGTTACAACCATATATACACTGATGCCTCGAAAACACAAGAACACGTTGGTGCTGCAGTTATCATCAATAATAATAGCTACTGCTATACACTACCAAAAAGTTGCAGTATTTACACAGGGGAAGTACTCGCGATTAAACAAGCTTTAAGCGTTGCGAAAGACCTCAATGGTAGCACAGTCATTTTCACGGATTCACTGAGTGCAATAGAAGGCATAAAACAACTATATCCTAAACATCCAATCCTCAAGGAAATATTAAACGTGCGACAGGAAATTCAACGAAGAGGAAGAGTAGTTGAGATTGTCTGGGTACCATCGCATTGCGGCATACGAGGTAATGAGCTAGCAGATACCGCAGCCCGCACCGTTCCAGAAAACCCAACATCTATACAAGTAAATAACATACCACATTCAGATCTATATAACGAAATAAAACGAATAACTAAAGATAAATGGAAGGATAGATGGCGCCTACACAGTCACAACAAACTGTACGAAATCAATCCCACCTTAGAAAACAACCTCTACAGTGGTACAAACCGCAAGAACCAAATTCTTCTCACACGACTCAAAATAGGACACACACGTCTAACACACCAGCATCTAATGAAGAGAGAACCTCCAGTCCAATGTGAAAATTGTAACGTCCCACAAACCGTACGACATATATTATCGGAATGTCCTACACTCGAATACCAAAGGAACCAATGCAATATGTCCAGAAATCTTGCAGAAATGCTGAACAAACAACCAGACCGAGTTATAAAATTCCTAGAGAGAGTGAACTTAACCAAATATTTATAGTAAGGAAAACAAAATGTATCTAATTTAGCCCGATGTATTCATAAAATGAAATTGATAATTTGCACTGTACCCCGCTAATAACCCTCGAGGTTGATGCGGATAATTTTATAATAAAAAAAAAAAAAAAAAGTAATTTAGAAATATGCTTCTCATGAGCCCAGACCATCACAAAATTTTTTATTCATCTATGTCAAACAGCGAAGTCGTTATCTCACTTTTCCATTTCAATGACTCACCCTGTATGAAGCAGAAAAGAGATTGACCATTAAAGTTGGTAACGTCACTCTAGCGTCCACAAAGGTTGCAAAAAATCTTGGTCTGTACATGGATCCAGGTATGAAATTTTCGGATCATATCAGCAAATGTTTGCAGAAATCTTATAGCGCTTTGAAACTATTATATTCCAATCGATATAACTTGCATAATAGTTTGAAGAAAATGCTCTGCGATCAATTAATATTATCTCAGTTCAACTATTGTGACTTGTGACGTGGTATACGGTAACCATATTGATTAGTTCGACATTAGCGTCTGCGGGACGGCCGCAAGTAATAACTCCGTGGTGGGAGAACGTTATAGTGGGCAGTAGATGCGACTGGCGTTATTAGGCGCAGACTGAATGACTTCATCATACTTTGTCTCGTAAGCAACTGGTTGGCTCAGTAACCAGAGCATCGGCATGCCAATCTGGCGGGCCAGGGTTCGTATTCGTGCGAGTCTCATCTTTTTTTTTTTTTTTTCTTGTTCTCAAGTGATTTCTAAAAGATATTCTCTATGGGAAATAGGTTCATTTAGGGGTTTTCTATGTTTAGGCCAGAGGTGAGGTTAGGTTAGGTTAGAATAGAATAGAATATTTTATTTGGTTTTAATAAACATTAAGTTTTACACAGGTCAACGAAACAAGTACAGATATACTCATAAAATAGATAGGTTAGGTTTTCTCATTTTTTATGAAGAAACAATATTTTCTTTCCTCAAGACAAATTCTCCTTCTTCAAGAAAAAAGGTTCATCTAGGTCGATTGATTGTTAAAAAAAAATTCCTTCCTTATATTAGACTCGACACAAGTTAACCAACGTTCCCCTACCACGGAGTTATTACTTGCGGCTGTCCGCAGACGCTAGTAATTTCGACGCTTGCAGGATTCAGAAAGTTCAAAACAACTGTTGTAGATATATACTAAACTTACGAAAATATGATCACGTCTGAGAATATTGCAAAATTAGGCTGGCTGAAAATGAAATCTCGTCGTTATTTACATTTCGCTGCGTTCTGTCATAAAATCATTTTAACGAAGACACCATCTTATCTTTATGAGAAATTGAGATTTCGCGGTCAACTTTATAATGTTAATATTCGTGCCCAGTATTATATTCATATTCCAGCACACCATACAAAGAAATTCGAATCTTCCTTTGCCTACGAAGCTCCTCATATTTATAATAATTTAGATGACCATCTGAAGAGAATGTCAGTAAATTCATTTAAGGCAAATTTAAAAAAAATCCTTCTAGCCAAACAATTGACCGTCAACTCATTGTAAAAATTTGAAAAGCTCAATTAATCTATATCTCTCCTCTAGCCAAAAAGATTATCCTGAACTCATAATAGAAAGCCATATCTCATAATATATCTATCTCTCACATTCGTCAAGAATTTTTCTTCTGATTTTTTTTTCTTTGTTTTCAATACAGAGTATAGTTCTGATTACGTTGAATGCTACAATGATATCTATGTTCATTTCTATAATTGTCAGGTTAAAGTGTAAGAATGGTTTTATACTTAACTTTCGCCTAATGAAGACCTATTATTATTATTATTATTATATATTTCGTTAGTTAATATTGGCACGCCAAGGAAAAAGTAACAATATCTTTGTCCTAGAAAGTTGATTTACAATCAACATATTATAGATGCATTGAGATAATATTGAATAAACGTTCTGGTGCTAAGGCCTAAAGTAGGTACTATTGTCGCTATGTATCTGCCATATCGGGAATATCACACGAAGTATAAAAATGGATATGATATATATTTATGTTTCATTCATTATTTCATGTTGAGTGAAGTGGGTATGACAGTAACAGTTTAATATTGAAACAATTTTATTATTTGATGAAGATTCTGCCTTTTTATATTCCCAAACCAATTTGATCAATAACTCAACATTCAATCCATATCTAATTTCCTGAAATTGCCATGGTAACCAAGAACATCATCATTCACTAATGGTTTCGGCCTCAAACTTTCATCTGTCTTCATTTTGGATAGGGCTAGAAATCTGTTTGTATGTTCGGCTGTCTTCTTTTTCCATAATTCTGAAAGAAAAATCATGAAACTTATAATGGACCGATGAGCAGAAGAAAAATAATGATGATGAATTGATAATAATAACGACCTTATTATTCCATGACATGAAAATATTAAATAAATAATGTTTTTGTCCAGTAATGATGTGTAAGGAAGGAAGAAGTTCATTGTCTGCAATGCTTTGCAATATGCATCACGAAGAATGTTTCACCCAGTATGTTTGCATACTTTCTAACATCGCAATTGATGCCTTCTTCATGTCGAACATACCACCAAATACTATGCTTGAAAGTGATATCGACCAAATATTCTCAATATTGCGTTTTATCAGTCAAATTCGGTATGGTCATCATGATATTCTCACTGTGAAAATTCATTTATATCGGGACTCCAGAGACAATTATAAGAACGACACTTCAAACTATATGCGTTCGTGGATAAAATCATATATATTTTCAGAGCTAAAGTTCATTTCCTCCCATGTGTGTTCAATGCCGTCCACTCACACGCAAGAGGTAATCGATATCTTTGCTCGCTTGATATATTAATAGCTATTATCTCGCAGCAGGCAATAATTCTAGGTGGCGTAGTGAAGGTGGTAGGGAGTGGTAGGGCTAACACAACAGTACGTGGTGGAATCAGTCGGCAATTATTGGTTGCATGAGCGGTACGGACAGGTGAGTGCCTTATCCATTATTTGCTATTTCTTGTATAGTACACCGAGAGAAATATCTAGTAGCTGTTATACGAAATTGTATGACCATTAAAAGATTTCTGAATTTAATAGGCGCCAGCATAGTTCCCATTTTACTGTAATCACGTTCATCATTTCAAAAAAATCATTTAACTGTGAAATATCACTCATATGAGAATGAAATGACACTCATATAGGGGTCGAATGACTAGCATTTCAATGCTATACGATGATATTATAAAAATGGAAAGATACTTGTTTTCAATTTGATAGTCAAATAAGAAGCATTTCAATATTGAATAGTAATATTATGAAAATGAAATAATACTCATATCAATATAATTTGCTTTCAATTTCTTAGTCAAATGATTGCATGGTATTTCAGTATAATCAGATTAATTTTACTCCAAAAAATTGAAGTGGGTTGAAACTCTACGAGAAAATTGAAGACATATATACTTGGTTTATATACTTACCCCCGAGTAAAGTTTTTTGAGGAACTACAAGGCATTGAAATGCATCACAAGGACGATATACTGAGTTTACAATATCTCAGTTTGTGTAGGACAAAAATGCTTCCAATTTAGACTATTTGTTCTCATTGTCAGTGCATTGGATTATTAGTTAACAAAGTGGTCAAAAATGTAATGTAAATAATGTAATGTAGAAATGTACACATTATCGTCAGTAGATCAGAGTTCACACTCGCAAATTTTCTTTTTATTTCATTTACCGTTATTGCCACTTGAGCTTTACAAAAGAGCGTTGAGAGACTTTCCATACGACGTTTCCGAGATCCCCATGATAGTAATCATTAATCTTGGACCACAATGTATACGCAATACAATCTATCACCGATAAAACTGTTCGAATCCAAGCTTTTGCCACTTGGTGAATAGTGAGATGAGTTGAAAAAATAAAAGTTTTTCCAATTTGGAAGACATTCCGATACATACACTTACCGATATATCGTGTAAACACTATAACGCTCAGAGGCAGTTCAACATTCTGTAGTTCCTCAACAAATCTTGGGGGATATATGAACAAATATCTCCCTAATATCTCTAGAAGATCTCTCAACCACTTCACTTTTTCGAAAAAAAAAATATCACCCTGCAAGAAGAGTTCACGAGCTGCCGCGATCTAATATGTCCTTTTATATCAGGAATTCGAAGACGACTAACGATTCTCATCGAACAAGTGTTCATAGGTGAGTGAGATGATTCATTGAGGTAAACGAGTATGACAAAGATGGAAAATGATAGAAGGGATGAAATTAAATGATAATTGAATGACTGTGAAATGACATCTTTTTGGATTTAAATGATTATCTTCGAATTCCCATCTTTCAACTATAATCTTGTCCCATTTCGAATCTAAAAGATAACCTTCCTGAAACGAAAAGAGTGATTTAAAAGGGTGACCTGTTTCTCGTTGAAAACGTGAAATTTTCACGTTCATCAGATGACATTTCGTGGTTGAAATGTTTTATTTGGCGGTTATGAGAAGTTTTTATATAGAGACATGTATAACTGGACTTTTCTCGGTGTAAATAACTACAGTGGAATGAGGTGATTGGGGATTGTTTTCACTAATAACAAATCGATCTCTAGATCTACTCAGTAATGATTTGAATTCTTTTTGTATATACCTTTTTTATTTTCTCAGGGGCTAATCAGGACAATAAATCAAACGTATAAATAAGCTCTCAGTAGTTGGTTCTCAAAAATTACAGTGGAATTCGATGCTGGAAACATCATTGAGAGAATATATCGAGGACAAATGAGTATTATGTTACTATAAGGAAATAAATTCATTTTTTTTTCATGCAGGCTATGTCCACTGTTAGGTTTTCACATAATGAGGTTCATTTTCATTACTCTCAATGCGTTTTTCAATGAAAGAAATTTAAAAAATTCTTTCAATTATTATATTACTCCCAATTGACCTCATAATTTTTCATGATTTCAAAGTGGGGGATTGTTATTTTGGGTTCAGTCAATATAAATATAGCCGAATCCTGATTAATTTTTCCTGCACTGTCAGGAGTTACAGCGAGGAAATATTCAAGTCCAGATTCACCCCGTTTGACTACAATATCCGAGAGTAATAACATATTCTAATCAAGGAACCTTAAAATATTTTGTAACACATTTCGAAGATAAAAATGACTTGATTCATTTTCCATACTGATATGTTTTTTGTTTTTGGATGTATGACATATTGATATTCATCATATATCTTCAAAAATAACAAGATTCAATCGTTCAAGTTCGAACTCCTTGATGATTGAGTATGGAAGATCTGAAAAAGAATATTATCAGATATATCATGAACATTCGTCCTGTATGATAAATAAGAGTTCGTCATACATCCAGAAACGGAAGCATATCCAGATGACAGGAGTTGAATGTCAACAAATAAGAATTCTGATGTCAGTTCTTTAAAGTTTATAGGTGGTTATATTTATAGCTATAGCTATAGTTCAAGTTATAGTTATAGTTATAGAGATATGAAAATTGTAGAGTCCATGAAAAATGGCTATAAGAATACGCTGACTAGGTTACTGAAGAGAATTTGATATCCGAAATGAAATCATTCTGATAATGTCATATAACCTGTTCGTGAGAGGAATAATATTTCCATATCACTGATGAGAATGATTTTTGTTGGATGTTACAAGCTCATCAAGATCAGATTTTATGAAAGTATCCTTCTCGTATACATTTCAATTCTCATTCCAATACTGAATACTTATATTGGAACGTTATACTTGGTTATCATTATACATCATATTATTATTCATCCGATTCGAAAGAGTATGTCAATACATTCTCAATTTCCGAGGATTTGTATTTTGATGTTCTCATTTTGGATATTCAGCAGATATAATTCAAAGTTCGACGTGGCAATTAGGCAGGAAAGGATATAACTCCTTTTGAATATTCAGAATAATAATATATGCACATATTATTATATTTTCATCTGAGGAAGAATGCAAATCCTTATCGTGTGTGTTCAATAGATATAATTCAATGTTAGTCGTTGCATAAAGTGAGGAAAGTAGTTCTTTACTGTCGAATATACCAGAAAATAATGTTTTCCATCACATATAGAAAATGCGATTTCTCAACGTTTTTCTTTATGCATATATTCATTTTATTCATGTTCATAACATATCTGAGAATATTTCTTTACAATACTAAAACATGTTTACTTGGATTTTTTCGGAAAGAGATTGTCATGAAATTCTGATGGGTCTGGAGTGTTTTATTATTTTCAATGAGAAAAACCACAGTTTCGTGAAATCAGGAGCTGGTGGAACAATACTTCTGTTTTCATTGTGGAAATGCACCGTGGTGCATTTCTCTCTTTTGAAGGGTGGCGCGCATATGTAACGTTATAATATAATCATAAAAAAAATGTTTCAATCATTTTTGCCTTTTTCCTAGAATCATAGGTTGAAATACATGGAAAATTGATGAAGGAAAGACTCAGATCTAAATGAATAACCAAAATTGTTCCATTTCATTTTCAGTGTCCAATTATTCATACACGAAGATCATATTAAAATTTCTTTCATGCTCAAAATACTTTTTTTTGATAAGGGTGAGATATATGCCAATAGGTCAAAAATCATCCAACAGATTGAGGCCAATATCCAAAAAGAAGTCAGGGCGCTGAGACCTGAAATTCTTAAAAAAATAATGGAAAATGCTCTGGAAAGATCACATCTGGTCGGAGTAATCAATGGGCACTAATTGAGATATATTATCTTCAAAAAATAATCACAACATATTTTCAAACTATAATCAGAATTGTGATCGATTTCAACGGTGAATAAAATGATGAAGACAAAACTTATTCATTTCAACTACAAAATAGCCCAAATGCGCGATGTGGGATGAAACTTTGAATATATAATGACTACACAGTCATTTTCATGAATGTTCATAAAATGAACAACAACAATGGTTGATGACGAGACAAAAACAACTACTTTCCTGGGTAACATAACATCCTCTCGAAATCTATGAATCGCTTCGAATAAACGAATATCAATGCCAGTGTCTCCTTCCTCAATTATCCATTGTTGTCGATCATTTTATGAACATTTTTGGAGTTTTCATTAGTCATTCAGCAATTTGGGTATTTCGTAGTTGAAATAATGCCAGTATAGCAATCAGCCCCTTCGATTTCCATACGAAATGAGAATCTTCGCAGTAGTATGGTGTTTCTTTCCTTCTACTCTAGATGGCGTTGCACTCATGCTACCCATGAGACACGCCTCTGACACTACAAATATGCTGATTGAATTTGTTGGGTCTGATTACGCTTAGCTAGAGAACACCTTACACTGACAAGGACCAAAAGTCTGAGACCGGTTTGTAGTTGTCGTTGCGTGAATCTGGCTGAATCGGAATCAATCGGCATTGAGGAAAGTAATACTTCCATAAGTATTCATTTAAACACGGAGGGAAAGGATCATCTGCTCTAAGTGCATATTTGATAGTGAGAAGTGAAAATGTGTATACTATTTGGGACAAGGCAACAAGTTGATATCCACAAGAATATCTGTGTTCTTGAAAATGTACTCCTACCACTATGAACCCGTTTCATCGAATATTCCAGATTGTTAACCATAAGTGAACACAGGAAGTGTCATTAGTGTTCACTCGTCATAAGTGACTCATTCACTCTTCATAAGTGACTCATTTACTCATCATATGTGACTTATGCATTTGCGACTAGTGAATTATTTATGTGTCTCCATTTACTCGCTCACTTGTCATTAGCGTCCTAATCACATGTATGATCAGTGACTTGTTCACTCGTCATCAGTGACTCATTAACTTGTCATAAGTGATTTATTTACCTGTCATGACCTAGGTACTATGAAAAATTACATTGATTGTTCTCTGAAAAATGATAACTATGGTGAAAAGACAAAAACTCGTGCATTTGAAACATTTATTGAATAGCTATGATCAACCATCCAGAAATCAAAAGGTGAGGCTGGCGACAAATAGTGAGGCATTAGATACCGGGTATATATATCAGGATCATGCGTCCAGATGCACTGGTATATTCTATCTTTTTTTAGCGATGAAGATGAAAAAGTGGAATTGAAATTAACTTTCATGCTCATGAATTTTAACACTTTTCCACTTCGAGTATCGTCTAAAGTGATAAAGAATTCTGTATATTAGGTCAATAATTGAGAAATGTTCTGGGAGAGTTATGTAATTTCATTATCTTCGTCAAAAGAATAACAAATCATCAAGAACTCAACACCCCACGGCACATAAACTGAGAAGCTTCACGAATATGATATAGCACTTGTTCAAAAGAGCACTTTCATGGCTGAGTATTTCAATTATTGTACTAGCTACAAGGCATGTAATAAACTTCACAAACGCGAAGATCATGATAAAATCGTGGACAGTAGAAGTGGTCGGGTTGAGCGTGGGCACCCGAATAATATATCGGAGATGTCCGACTCTATAGATTGTCTTCATCGATGAGTTCACTCAGAGCAAAGTAATTTTGTCCCAGAATAATAATTTATTAATGGTGAGTGATCATTGACCTAGCACTAGTTCAGTGTACACTCATGATTAGCTAACTCAAAATACATATCGATTTGGCTAATACCAACAAGTGTCTTGATTACTTACAGCAGAAACATTGTTCCAGAAATATTGTTCTGCCTACTTCAAATACCTCATTTTTCTAACGTTGGGGAACATTTTCCTGTCATAATTGACCTTTTCTTCAAGAAAACGATTTACTTGCCGAGTTTTCTCAGTGCACGAATAGATGCATATAGATTTCTAGAAGATGTGATTCAATGTTCTTCGTCGCATAAGCCCACGATAGTAGATTTTATTATTGATTTGACTTATCCATTGAACAAATCATATCGTTCCTTATGCGCCACCCTATACAAACACCTTTCACGCTCGTATCATCAGTATTGCATCGAAGGTTCAATCAAATTTCACGCGGACCCTACTCGACCGAATGAATCAATCACTGCATTGACATCAATATGGAAACAACTCACATACCATGCAATTCTCGCAGCGACACTTCATCTCCTCCAAAATCGACAGGTAGAATGTGTTTTGGAATCACCTTTCCGAGATGCGTGCTGTCTTCATGAACGAATATCTGAAATGTGAAAAAAGTAGTTGAAATCTCGCCATCTTCATCATACATTGCATCTCCCATATCATTATCCAAACGATTCCAAAGTATGAACTTAAATAGGGAGTTGTACTGATTCTAAGTTTTGGTTTGAATGTGTAGATTTATTACATAAACGTTTTCCTGATCCTAAAATATCTTATGAATTTCGCTTCCTATCATTTGAAGATACTGAAAGGTTAACGGCTGAGCAAGACCCCGTTTGTTACGTAACTGATCAACGATCTTATGTTATGTGTCTGCAAATCTCAAGACCTAGAAGGAAAGAGCAATCCTCGGATGATGTACATCAGAAACCACATCATAAAATTAATTAGAGTGGGGAATATGGGAACGTGGTAAGAAAGCGCACAGTATTGCAGATATCAATCGAAGGTAATTAATTTGATGGCACAGGAAAACCAATAACACCTTCAATCATTTCTCTATTCAACTCAATTCATTTGTGGTTTACACAAAAAATACAGTTTCATGAACAAGAAATTCGGTTATACATATTATACAATAATTAATGTGGCCTATTCTAAAAACAAAGGAAACAAAAAAAGGTATCTCGTATTGACCTACTATACCGGGTGACACAGGATATCGGGCCACCCCTGTAACTTCTGCATTCGTCAACGGATTTTTCTGAAATTTGGTACAGTTATATAAGCAACCATTTCTGATTTGATCACATTACAATCCAATATGGCGGACTTCCGGTTTTTCTGGAAATGCCAGCAATTTTGTTTTTTCAAATGAAACACTCTGTATATTTTTACATATTCAAGTTCAACAGGTCGAAACAAGTGCAATCTTGATGTCAAATGTCATTTATTCCACAGCCTACCTAATTGAAAAATCATTCTAACTGCAAGGAAATTCATAAACTAGTTGTTGATTTTTGAATGTATACAATTTGTTACTGCACCGAAAAACAAAAATGATATGTCATTTTGTCCCTTAATGTATGTTCTAGAGAGACGGGTAGGTGGCCCATAGGGGTTCCATTTGAAAAAAAATAATTTTTGATCAAAAAGTGATGTGGCTGAATTGATTCCTGGATAAGTGACACAAAAAATAATTGTTCAGAAAGAATTATGTTCTTTTGTTATGTGTGTCTCATTGTGAATAGTCTTGACCACATCTCATTTATCCACGAGGTAAAATGAAAAAACAATTTCAATTTAAATTTTTTCGAAAAAATGACATTTTAAATAAAGATTGCACTTGTTTCGACCTGTTGAACTTGAATATGTGAAAATATACAGGGTGTTTCATTTGAAATAACAAAGTTGCTGGCATTTCCAGAAATACCGGAAGTCCGCCATATTGGATTGTAATGTGATCAAATCCGAAATAGTTGCTTATATAACTGTACCGAATTTCAGAAAAATCCGTTGACGAATGCAGAAGTTACAGGGGTGGCCCGATACCCTGTGTCACCCGGTATAGTAAGACTACTTATCTGTTATATATCATATACAGTCATGATTTTTTGTAGAGAACTTTTTTCCCTGTATTATTTTTGGTAAAAAAACAGGAGCATTTGATGGAGCGAAGAAAATCACATGAAAAAGGTACTCTTATTCAAATACAAAAAATTGAGCCCTTCGTGGGATATTTGAGTTTTTGTAGTTACATGATATCAGCAGATTGATTTTATTCATCGCGAGATTCATCGGTAACAATATTTTAGCAGGCCATGATGAATGATTTTGTTTTCAATTTTGACGTTCATTTCATCAACATTCGAGTCGACATTGTTTTGTTCGTGTGGTTTTTCTGTGTCATTTATCACTGCGATTATCAACTGAGATTTTAAGAAATATGGCAGGTTATTCGTTCTCTGAACAAACTGATATGCTTCTAATGCTTGGCGAGTGCTTCGCAAATGCAAATGCTGCTGTGAGACGATATGCAGAGATGTTTTCCGCTCGACGCGTTTCAAATCCGAGAACAATTTTGAGGATTGTACAAAGACTGCGTGAAACAGGATGTTTGAAAACCAATAATAGAAATGGTGGCCGACCCAGGAGTGCGAGAACTGTAGAAGTTGAAGAAGAAGTATCAAATACTGTGGAACAGGATCCGGAAATAAGTACAAGGAAATTAGCAAGACGAATAGACACAACACAAGCGAATGTAACTAGGATTCTCAGAGAGCAACAGCTACACCCTTATCATTATTTGCAGGTACAAGAACTGTTACCACGAGACAATGAAATAAGATTGAGATTTTGCGAAGAGTTGCTGGAACGAACTCGAGGATGTCCTGAGTTTTTGAACAAAATATTGTTCACAGACGATGCAACTTTTACTAGAAACGGTGTTTTCAATTCGCGCAACACTCATTTCTGGGCTGACAAAAATCCACACGTTGTTAAAGTAACGCATTTTCAATATAATTTCAAAGTGAACGTCTGGTCTGCGACTTTAGGAGACAAATTCGTTGGATACTACATGTTCCCAGGATCTCTGAATGGTGCAATGTACCTCAACTTCTTAGAAATTGAGTTAGGTACGATATTCCTGACCTCAATCCACTAGATTTTTCGATCTGGGGTTACATGAAATCTAGGGTTCATTCAAGCGAAATTCGGAATGTTGAGGAGCTGAGGCAAAAAATTGTGAACGAATTTACGTTGTTGAAAAATGATCACCAAACTATGAACGGTTTGATGAATAATTTACGTAAACGCCTCAGATTATGTATAAGCCAAAACGGTGGACATTTCGAACAGCTACTTTAATTTGTTTTTTTCCTTTTTCTTCCATTCAATATTATGTATTAATTAAAAGAAGCAAAAACATATTCAAACCTTGTTGGGACAGACTTATGCTATGTACTTATTGCTCAGTAACGTGGCACAGTGAGGTGATATTATCGACAAAATTAAAAACAAAATTGTTCATGGCCTGCTGAAATATCGTTATACCGATGAATCTCGCGATGAATAAAATCAGACTGCTGATATCATGTAGCTACAAAAACTCAAATATCTCACGAACGGCTCAAATTTTAGTATTTGAATAAGAGTACCTTTTCCATGTAATTTTCTTCGCTCCATCAAATGCTCCTGTTTTTTCACCGAAAATAATACAGGGTAAAAACTTTTCTACAAAAAATCATGACTCACCCTCTGAAAACACCCTTTATAACAATATCAGGAATGTGAAAGTGTGACGAAAAAATGTATTTTGACAACATACATTCATGCACAAAATCTCAATCGGGTGGCTTTCATCGTTCAGAAGTTATGCGGAGAAATTATTTTAATTTTATCAACTTTGGAAGGATATATCTCCCTTGATATGCATTTTGGGCCATGAGTTTAATCATCAGACTACACTTATTTTTCAATGTTCTATCACCCCCAGAAAGCTCGGTACACATTTTTGACTCACCCTGTATACATGCTCATGTGATGTGTGAATCGGACAATCAAATAATAAATGATAGATTGTTTCGAGCTCATACCGATTACAAACTGAGCAGATTCTCCTCGGATCAATGCGGTGCGGTAAATCTTATCATTAATGTGTTACAAATAATGAGTTGTGCGATAGCTCTCGTGACTTGAATCGACACCTTCATGTATTGATAGTTTTGGATTTGATGTGCAAGTGTTAAAGACTTGGATATTGGGAGGAATGCTGAAATTAAAGACAGGGATTTTGTCTTCTTCTGTCAGTCTGATCATATACCTAGAAAGCAGGATCGCCTTCTACTGAATGAAAATTTCAGAAGTGTCCTGAGTTAATGGCATATCAAAGTGGAAATATCCGAGAGCCCTTTAGTGAAATGTACCTCCGATCTACATCACTGAGTTCCAGTTGTCTTTTGAAACATCATTTTGGGAGTCGACTACTGTCCATTGTTAGGATTTTGATTAACCAATTCTCTTGAAATAGTTCAGTTGAACTTGTTCTAGAGGATATCAGAATATCGCGAACCCTAAACCGGAATATAGTTGGTAACCACGCTCAAAACAAGCAAATATAATAGTTTTTTTTCTGGCGGGCAAGCAGTTCATTTTTGTTTTTGCCATTACATATACAGCTCCCACAGCCTGTTCACCCTTATCTGCAGATGTAGAAGCCATATTCGATGGACTTTGATACTGGATTGAGATTCCACTCCAGTTTGAGCAAACATGGACTTCTACCAGGGATTGAATATCTTTTTGTTGGAGCCTATGAAATAGTCATGCAATCCAGAACATTGAGAAAAATGGATATTAGTCGTTGAGTCGAAATTGTTATTTTCTAAAATGGATGTTACTTACCCTTGCTGCTAGTTTTGGCTTCAAAAGTTGTTTGAGGATATTCAGCGATGTGTTACAGTAGGAGTGACAGTTGACAAAGTGGAATTGCTTTATCCTCTTGTTATACACTTTCTGAAACATAAATTGAATTTTTGCATCCGCTGTTGAGGATTTATTACATATTCCTTAATATTCAGACCCCAATCCTGATACAGTGAACTCGAAATGTGATTTATATAAACATAATTGTCATGAGTGAGATTGATGAAACACACAGGAAATCAAATCAAATCAAATCAAAATATACTTTATTATCGGAAGATTTTCATCTCATTGATAAAGTCATGATGAATATAAAATAAATAATTAAATGAGTTTATATAAATAAATAATATAGAGCAGGTACTATAGCATTGTCACAATTATAATAAAAACATATTGACGTAAACACAAGAAAAAAATAAAAGAGAACAGACAGATACAAAATGAATTGAGCATTAGAATACAATTCCAAAATGTTTAAATAGACATATATTTTAACTATTCCAATCTTTCTCAAGAAACTCTTGAACATTATAAGAAACCTTATCGATAAGTAAGCGCTTGACAGATCTCCTGAAATGAGACGGCGAAACTATGTTTTTGAAGGCGGGAGGGAGGTGATTGTATAGTTTAATCGCACCATAGATCAGCGAGTTTTTTGTTTAATTTGAAGACGGAATAGGTAATCGCAAATTGTTACTTTGTCTAGTGATACCAACTGTTACCTCGTATGATGATTTGTTTTTATGTACTAGACACACTGTTTCGAGAATGAATAACGACGGAAGGGTGAGGATTTTTATTTGACCGAACAGCGGTTTACAAGATAATCTTGGCCCAACTTTGCGAAGGTATCGGACAGCACGCTTTTGAAGAACAAATACACTATTGAAGTTATGTTGGTTGCAGATATCCCAAAAAGGTATTCCATACCTGATATGTGATTCTATCAGAGCGTGGTATACTACCTTCGCAGTGGCTATACCCAGTTCTTTCGCCACCATTCGCAAAGCATAACACCCACGTGCTATTTTTGTATTCAAATACTTCACATGGTTCTCAAAATTTAGATTGTTGTCCAGATAGATTCCAAGGAATTTGCTCGTATACGTTTGCTCAATGATTACTTCAGTACTCAAAGGAATATCTGGTAGATTACATTTGAATGATAAGAGATGGGTTTTATTTATATTCAAAGAGAGCAAATTTGAGCTAAACCACCTTTTTACAGAGGGGATATCATTAACAATTCTCCTGTGTAATCTTTTTATATCGGTCTCATGCCACAAGATGGTCGTGTCGTCTGCAAATGTAGTTAAACTACCATCGATCTTGAGTCTAGCCAAATTGTTAAAATACAATAAGAACAGGATAGGTCCCAGTACAGAGCCCTGTGGTACACCATGTTTAACTGATCTTGTTTCTGAATTAGTATTTGTTTTAACGAATTGGGTACGTTCACTCAGATAAAACTCGATCCAACTAAGGCTTTGATTCCTGAAACCATAACGTTGGAGCTTGCGCAAGAGTATTCCATGATTTACACAATCGAAATATCTCGACAGGTCACAAAATACTGCTGCGCAAACCTCTTTGAGATTGACTCTACTATATAATTCTTTTAGAAATGAGAAAACAGCGTCTCCTGTGCTCTTTTGTGGTTGAAACCCAAATTGTTGAGGATTCAGAACATTTCGAGCTGATATAGGGTGATATCGACAAGTATTTCCTGCATCTGATATAATCCTCAATATTGCACTTAGGTATACAAAGGATACAATTAGGATTACGTCATTTAATCAACTCATTTGACAAATTTCTAGTTGTCGGCATTCACCAATATACAAGTCATCATGATCACAGTCAAAACAACTATTAAACATGGATACCTCATGATTTAGTGAGTGTGGAATGGCACAACGGCAACACCGTTGTTTTTTAGATATGTATGTCCTGTTGAGAAAATCTCAGGAATCCTGATAAGAGGAATATACCTGCTTATACACAATGAGTGTTTTGATAAAATGTTACTCACAGCCGGCCTATCTCACCCTCATTAACGTACCTGAATAAGCAGGATAACCTTCTTCAGATGAACTGGCGTAACTTTAACTACATGTCCTAATCGCACATTTTGGAGATCGATTATGACTATTTCGGTAGTAATAATATCCTCTTGCAATCTTATTTCACTATTATTTGTGCTGTATGCCATCAGTCTATAGATATCGAATTTTTCGGTATGTTGGTCAACGATTTGTACTATTTCTATACTCACTCCATCATCTGTTCGCTTGGGCAGTGGAAACATATACCTAGAAAATATGATGAAACGTCATCAATACTATCCCAGGTTGCAGTGGGGTTTTCTTCAGTATTCTGAGCAAGCCTAAAACACCCGAGTGGAGAAAGTGAAGTAGACGGGAACTCTATAATGCGAATCAGTACATATACGGCTGATATAAATGATATTGAGAAAGTTCTTCAAAAATTTTCAATACACAGGCATTTTACCTGACCTATCCGCGTAACAAAGGCGGTATTTGTTAAATTTCAACTACACTCGAGATATACATAACCTAACAACCGTTTCATAAACATTTCCGATATTTTGTTGGCGCGCTTTCATCGACTTTCCACTTTCCTATAGATACTCCAACGGGAAATGGCCCACAGAAAGCTCTGCTATCATTTCATCACTAACAACACGAAGTCGAGAGACCCAGGTAGCACATTCTTTCGTTTTCAATGTTGAAATATGTCGATCAACACTTTATCAAAACTCGTTCGTCTATAGAACGGCAGATCTCTGCGATTCTTTGCTAATGGAAGTATCCTCAAGAACTCATTACCTCCAAAAGCTCAGAACATAATTCAACACCTAACTCCTCTTCCTATTTTTCTTATGTACGCATTACAACTCCCACCGTCCACGGTTTCATTATGATGTAAGCGTTTGAGAAGTATACATGCGTATTCGTGTTGATTCTCAATTTGTGTGCTGCGCACTGAGCTGTGGGGTATCGAGTTCTTGATCTGTTAGTTTTTTGAAGAACTCTCTCAGAACAGAACATTATTGTTGGCATCAAATACAGGATTCTATATTCTACTTCCGATGATACTCTGAGTGGAAGAAAGTGATACGTTCAATGAGTATCAAATGTAATTTCAATTTTACTCTTTCATCTACATCACTATATAAGGCAAAAAAGATTGACGAGTGCATCTGATGGACACTTCATCTCGGCCCATGATCCTGATGATATACCTGGTATCTATACCTTTTCAACTTCAATTTCGGAAAAAGTAATCTCAATTTCAGAATTGGTTAGTTCGATTTCAGAAATGGTAAACTCAATTTCAGAATCGGTGAGATGAATTTCAGAAAAAGTCCATTCAATTTCGGAAATGGTAAGTTGTATTTCAGAATTGGTAGGTTCAATTTCAGAAAAAAATCCTTTTATTTGTTCGAAATGTTTCCAATTGTATGTGAGATTAAAAAATCATATTTTCAATATTCAACTTGTCAAAAACAATTCAATAACATAATTATAATCTCAATTTAATCCACAGATGCCTTCCATCCGAATCGCTGGAAGATAATAGTGTTGCACATGATTATGAGAATGCAAACACATTTGAGGTGTTATCATTTTCATTGAATGATCTGCTCGGGAGCATCCCACGATGCCCAATTCCCACGATGCCCAATTCCTATGATGCCCACCTTCATGTCGACGATTACGAAAATTGCCGAAGAGCGCAACGTTGCCAGGTCAAGAGAAAAATTCAGAAAACACAAGATTCTCACCATGCCCACTTTTCATATATTCCCACGATGCCCAATTCCCACCATGCCCAACCTCTTTAGATTCCCACGATGCCCTCCTTCTTTAGATTCCCACCATGCCCACTTTCCATACATTCCCACGATGTCCAATTCCCACCACGCCCACTTTTCGTACATTCTCACGATGCCCAATTCCCACGATGCCCACCTTCTTTAGATTCCCACCATGCCCACTCTTCATACATTCCCACGATGCCCATCTCCTTCAGATTCCACCATGCCCACCTTTCATGCATTCCCACGATACCCGATTCCCACCATGCCCACCTTCATCATGGTGGGAATCCAAAGAAGGTGGGCAGGGTGGGAATTGGGCATCGTGGGAATGCATGAAAGGTGGGCATGGTGGGAATCTAAATAAGGTGGGCATCGTGGGAAGTTATGAAAAGTGGGCATGGTGGGAATTGGGCATCGTGGGAATGTATAAAAAGTGGGCATGGTGAGAATCCAAAGAAGGTGGTCATGGTGGGAATTGGGCATCGTGGGAATGTATGAAAAGTGGGCATGGTGGGAATCTTGTGTTTTCTGAATTTTTCTCATGACCTGGCAACGTTGCGCTCTTCGGCAATGTTCGTAATCGTCGACATGAAGGTGGGCATCGTAGGAATTGGGCATCGTGCTACGCACCCGATCTGCACATTCCTCAAGACATCGCAGTCTGAATTCTATCTGGTTGAGGAAGCTGTTCGAATCCCCAGCTACGACCCTTTGGCGATGCTCTTGCAAGAAGCTCTTCACTTCTGACTTGAAGGCACCCCATATATGTTCAATCTGATTCAACATAGGGCTCTCAAACACCGTTCATCCACTGTAAACAATCTTCTCTTTTGCAATTAAAAACATTCCAAACATATAAAAGGATTTCATCTTCTGAAATTGAACCTACCAATAATAATTCTGAAATTGAATGGACTTTTTCTGAAATTCATCTCACCGATTCTGAAATTGAGTTTACCATTTCTGAAATCGAACTAACCAATTCTGAAATCGAGATTACTTTTTCCGAAATATAACTCACCGATTCCGAAATTGAAGTTGAAAAGGTATAGTGTCTCAATATTTGTCGTCAGCCTTACCCACTTGTGATTTCTTGGTTCATCATACCTATTGATCATTCCAGAATTAACGTCATTTGACAGGTTGCTGAGGGGCAAACATTGTATTTTGTCAAGATTTGTCATATGAAACCAGAATAAGTGAGATCGTTTTCCTTGGAATCCGAGTTGGAACCATGAAGAATTTCATAATTTTGATTGGTGAAACTGTTGTTATATATTGTGGATATGGCAAGGATGCCTAGGGATATGCTCGTCAAAGGTAGGTAACGATAGTTTGTGTGCCCCTCAACAAACCATGTCAAATTCACGTGTTCTGGAAAGGTCAATACAATAAATTCTATGGATGCACAGGTTTTTGTCTTTTTACCAAGGTTATAATTCTTCAGAAAACATTGTGTGTAATTTTCCATGGTACTAGCTATAATGACAGGTAAATAAGTCACTAATGACAAGTGAATAGAACACTGATGATGACGACTCAATAAGTCACTGATAACATGTGATTAGGTCACTTATGACTTGTGAACAAGTCACTAATGAAAAGTGAATAAGTCACTAATCGCAAATGAATAAGTCAGTAATGATGAATGAAATAATCACTGATTGCATCTGAATAAGTCACTCATGACAAGTGGATGAGTCACTAATGACAATTATTGTGTTCACTGTTACGTCAATACTTATAAGTGGTTGATATAGTGAATTATTTATTTTCCATTCAAATTTATTTTCGCGCTATAAAGGCACTAAACGGCGCACGCCCCCGCCTGATAGTCAATCGTCAGGCCTCGGACGTTACCGATAAAAAAAAGGTACCAAGAAGTACCGGTATTCATTAGAATTTGAAGACTGATAAGATCCATTGCTGCAAGACAAGGTTCCTCTGATAATTATTACCGCTAACCTAACTCAAGTGACAATTTTGGGAACATCTAAGTGCGCGACTTGTGCATTAAGTGAAACCAAGGCGATAGGCAGACTCATTCCAGAAAGGGCCCTTTCATCACCTGGAGAGACCACCTGACCACCGGAGAGGCCTATTGGGTAAGTCCGTTTAGTGCCCCGCTTTAACCAAATTATACAGTCCATTTTCAACACCACTTAAGGGTTATCGATCGCAAACATTGGTCCTTCGAGCCGGATTTCTACCAAAAATTCTATTGTTTCATAGTGCTCAAGTTCGCGCCAAATACGCTTCAAATCATGGTAACCTTGTTTTAATTTGACTGCTTCCTCGCATTAATTACAATTTCCAGGAAAAATTAGTTGAACTAATTGAAAATTATACTTGCTACTTATCTATTTTGCTCTCAATGGTTTGCTAACATATATATTTAAATTTCAAAAAAATTAGCCATTTTGAATGCCTTTTCGTTCGTGTGCTCATACAAAGGGAAGGTGACAAGCGCAGGTCCTGTTTGCCCCAAATTAATTGGCTAGGCCCAGTCACGTGCCAATCGCAACTTCTGCTATAAAAACTGGATTCATGATTGTCTATTCTCACCTGTTCATTTTATAGTGTCAAGGCCAGGACACCTATTTTTTGTTGTTTTCAATCACGCATATTTGAGGACAGTGAACTCGGAAAGCAATCAGCTGTTTTTGTTGTTTATACCAATTCGGGTCAGGCAGTCTTGAATGATTGAGAAAACGCCATGGAAAAATTGAAAAAATTTAAAGCTCATCGCTCGACATCTCTCAGTGAGATAAGTGTTATAAGTACGCTCGCGAATAATGCAAAAACTGATAAATCTCTTAGAACCCTATTTAGAGTCCGATACGCCGATCTACAAGGTGTATATGAAGAATTTATTCGCCACCATAATAACGTTGTCAGTACGCTCCTGACTGATCCGCAAGCCGAGGTAGATGATGAAAACGTAATACGCGAAGGGTTTTTAAGTGAATACTATGCAATAAAAGCAATATATGCCGAACTCTTTGATGATCCGCTACAAGGCCATCCTCTGCTAAATTCGACAGCGAATCCTACTCTTGCATTTAGTAATCATAATAATATTCGTCTTCCGAAAATTGAATTACAAAAATTTAATGGTGATTATAAATCATTTGTCACTTATTTGGATTTATTCAATGCGTTGGTGCATTCCAATAGCTCACTGAGTGACGTCGAGAAATTCAATTACCTAATTTCGTCTTTGCAGGGTCAACCCCTTACTCTGGTCCGTACTTTACCATTAACTGCTGACAATTATCTCATTGCATATCAAACTTTAGTGGATCGCTATTCAAATAAAAGACTTCGCGCGCAAGCCCACTGGTCTGAAATACAAAATTCTTCAAAGGCAAATTCTGAAAGTGCTGAGTCATTGCGGAAATTGCTCGATACCTTTTCTGAAAATCTGGCAGCTTTGAAAAACCTGCAATTTCCTACAGATCAGTGGGA